CTGACCGGAAGGTGCATGCTTCGAACCCGACCTCTGCCTCTCGACTTCCCCTGTCTAGGCTTGGGCAACCTGGCAGCATCTAAGCCCTTGTGCTTCCTTCGGGTTGCATGGCAGGTAGGCACCGAAAGGGTGTTACAGCTGAATGATTTCTTTGGTTTTTATGAGGGACTAACCAAGTGTTCGCTGCTCTTGTAAGTAGATGGCATCACCGCGCAGTCCTTGTGGAACCATTATCTCGAATATAAACGGTCTGCAAACATATGCCTATAGATGGCGTATGAACCTTTTGCCGTGCGTTCAATTTAGTAACAAGTACAATGGTCCTCCAAGCTACTGAAATGTTTGACCGGACAACAGTATGTTGTGTGTCGACATTAGTCTAAGTGGACGGCAGAGGGATGGACTGGGCAGTATGCGCACTCCAAAAGCTTTGTGCAAAAATATAGTTATCAAAATCACTTTCCACAGACTGCAAGAGGTGAGCGAATAGGGCGTTGAGCACGCCTTCTGACCGACTGAAACCAAACATCCGTTAAAATTTATCGATGAGTTCTCAACTAATATGGACACGTAATTTTATTTTAATCGTCCCATAGAAAATCATTCATTTCGATCTGCCCTTTGAGGAAGATGTCACCAACTATTATACGTTTCAGAATGACATTTTAAAAGATTCGGTGTTTATCGAGGAAACAGTGCGTTCCAATTCGTTAAGGAAAGTCCTGGTACCCGTACGGTATCCACAAGGCTAAACCCAAGTGAATTCAGGAACCGAAGACTGGAAATCCGAAGTGCAGCATAAAAAAACACTTGGGTGAACCCCGTAATGGCCTACAAAACAACGTTCACGTCTAAGTAGGTGCAAGCAATGCAATACCCTGATCGGTCTTCCTAATAAAATTCCCGCCTTTTGCTTCCACTGTTGTTTACCGTCGTGCCTGATTAACCCAATATTCACTCTGAAGGTAAACTGTTCCGTTCAACTAGCACACTAGAACAGCAGTGTTTTCAGTACCCACTGCTTGAAAAAGCGCTCTGTGGTTGGAGAGTGATTGTATCCTAAAAAAAATTACCATTGGTCCTCGAATGCTTTTTTCAATCGCTATCCAAGAAAGCAACTAGTGGTCCGGAGATCCCGTGGAAAACCGGCTCGGACAATTGACCGCTTTTAGAGACGCATCACCTTACGAAAGACTTCCGAATTCATTCTAGTAAGCCAACTCGCAAATGGTTATCAGTCCATCGCCCAATCCAAGTCCAATAAACGGTTTTCGGACAGTGAAATCCAGAAAAAACGTATACCTTTTTGTGAGGGTCGGTGTTTTGTATGTGGTCATATCCGACAATAACAGTGGCCGTTTGACTCAACTAGGTAGTACATAGCTGTTATATTATTAATGTTACTAACCTAACCTAATCGTGCAGCCTAGAACCCTTTCGGTGCCACCAGACAGAAACACGAGGTCTGGGGTACTGTCAAGTTGTCCATGCCATCAAATTACNGCCGATCCGATACGGCCAAATCAGCGGGGTATGCTCGTTTCCATTGACCCTGTAGGAAGCAGTACGATCCGAAGTCCTGCTAAGAAATTTGATGTGCATAGACCATCAAAGTCATCTTAAAGTACTGAAGCTGAGTCAACGCCAACGAAGCTCAGTAGGCTCCAGAAGTCTAGCTATTTTAGAAGTTACTTTACATCTACTTCTTGTGGATATGACCCAGACGCGATATGGAACCCTGGAATGATGCTTTTCCAGCCATCAGAAAAACGAGTTTCACCACAAATCAAGTCTTCAAGTAACTTGTTTAAGATGCGAATTTCACCGCTCCTTATGGAGAATGCAACGGCCAAAGGTACGGTCAAGCTTCGTTTAAGTCCAACATTTCGAGAAATTCCACTTCACGATACGATTTCGAAGCCTACGAACAGCTAACCCAAAACCGTCAGTGACATGTAGCTTTATGGTCTGACTTACGGAAGGCTCCGCGCACATCGTATGCCGATCTGAGGTTTGCTTCGCGGTTTCGGCATAACCAGACCCGAACAACGGGGCGGTATCTGCTTCTGAAGACGGCTGACTCACGAAGGAAATGTGCAGAGGAAGTTGTGGCAATCCAACGGTGCTTCGTTCTGAACACTCGACAGCCTCGCGCTAGATTACAAGAAAAATGAAGTGAAAATAGGTGCGAATCTCGACACAGATCACTTCCCTCACACTGAGAAGAAGTAACGAAACTGAGCAGCGTATGGGACATTTGCAAGGGTAAAAAGTTGTGGTCGCTGATCATGCAGTACAGCATAGGACCGTTCAGGATAGGCAATGGGTTAAAGCACTATCTTCGGGTCGTCCTGTGCACCGGATCGAGTAAGACGGATATAAGTCTAAGCTTTGCTCGAAAAAAATTGCCGTATTTGACCTGATCGCCTCAGTTAACTGATAGCAGTAAACGTGCAATGCACACGTATGGTTCACGATGCCTAACTAGCCCGACTAATCGATTTCCCAAGCTCAGTAGTTGGAACAAATAATCTCGACTAGAGTCGATCCTGAACACATTAGGCCTACTTAAATTATATCAAGTACGTCCGACACAGATTTCGATTTTGTGGCTGTATCCACTCGCTAAATGTACGCCAGCATCCACGTGTACAAAACTCCTGTCCGTACTACTTCCGTGAATCCAACCAAGGTTGATAAAAGGAGAGACCTTGTGTTTTTCAGTAAACGCTAATGATACCGGATGATTCGTTGGAAATTTCGAAACAGAGCAGAAATCCCTTGCAAATCTGAATTGCACATTATTCTTCAGCGGACACCTTTGAGTCCAGATTATCACCAACAACCTATGCGTATCACAGCAAAAACCAAGCATCTGAAACAGATTGGACATAGTGATTTGGCTATCGAACGGATAAGGGATTGTTAACGAACCACAATCAGTATGCGCGGAAGGTCGAATTAGGTGCCACTCGAAGACCTTTGATGCCGGCGTACAGGCGAGGGAATAGGATGGGCAAACACGTATGAGCTCGTTACTAAAAAATACGCTGGTGCGAAAAAATTTTCACCATCGCAGGCGTCAGTTGTCGATTATTTGAAACCCAGGTACTACACTTCTTTCACCATTACACCATATTACTGTTATCGAAGAGAGGCATCAGCACACCGTTTGTGCGGTATTCCAGAAATAATTGTTGACACTTTTGTTCCCAGATTGACTGTGGTATCTGGAAGGTAAGAAAGCGGCCCAATCTACTTGGTAAAGAAGTTTCAGTACACATGAAGCACCAAACCGATGCCGTTAGTGCATGTGAATCCGCATCTTGCAAAAGTCCGAGGCCGAAACTCATGCACTGCCACTGCTGTGTCGGCTGCCAAAACAACAAGAATTGCAAAATGCCGCCGAACATGGAGAACGATCAAAATACATGATCGAACAATGAAAGCCAGTAGCCAGAGGATGGACCGTTAAAAAGTGTATTGCTCACCGCCGCTGAAGGGGTATGGAAGTCGACTAGGGCTGTCCCACGCTTTCCAAGCATAACCGCAGTCACTTCGCCAAACTGTAAGAGAAAACAGAGGACAAGCCTGTGACTAATGTGCACTACAATTGATCAATACTTTTTCAGCTCGGACCTATTCAGCTAATCCAAACAATTCGAATAAGCATGATAAATTACAAACACAGGGGAGATGATTATCCAACCACCTACATACAAGATGGCTGCGTGGAATCCCCACCTGAATGCAGTACATTTGATCTTGTCAACAGTATGGTAAGATGCGCGGCAAATTCAGGTGATAGTCGTCATAAGTATGACTATAGTGACAATGAATGGGTTTAGTTGTTGCATCCTTTCGGTGCCTTACTGCCATGCCACCAGGAACAAGCAGGAGGGATGAGATACTGCCAGGTCGCCCAAGCCTAGACATGGGAATTCGAGTAGAGATCGGGTTCGAACCACGGACCTTCGGGCCATCTCGCTTCTTAGTGACAATAATAACAATAAAGTCAACTAAGCACTGATATCGAAGTAGAATGGAAGGAGAATAAGTGACTTCATCCCGCGCACGATTATCCAGTGCATCAGCCAGACACCCTGTAGTTGTCTGGGTCGTTTACTTTCACCAGAAAGGTTCGAGAGTATGAAGAGAATCCTACAGCTTCCTGGGTAAATCAAAAGCACAGTTCCGTGATGGACCGGTTAGCCGGCTCACCAGCTGCTTCAGCTTCGTTCATCGATGATAAGAAGAGTGAGCGAATAAGAGTCATGCTTTGGAGGTGATGAACCAATTAGCTCCTCGGAGTTAAGTGGTTCAGTTTGTCGAGCACGAAGTGCGACTGTATCCCGTTGCAAAAGCTTTCTCGAGTTCGCGCGTTTGTGCTATCCACTAGTGCTCTTCTCCGATCCTTAGGCCCTTCATTATTCCGTATCTGAGTGTTCAGTGGGCATTGTCATAGTCGTTTGCTACCGGTGTAATGGTGTGTACTACTGGTAAAGCATGCGAGTATTCTATGGTTCGGTATCCAAGCTCCGCCCCCGTATCTGACGGAAGATGGAGTTCAATAGGAATATCGTGCAGCTGGTTTACAATGTTCGTGTATTATTGTATAACAGTCAATGAATATTCTCCTTTCACAGTTTCCTGGGGCCAATGAGAGCTATCGATTATGTGTACATTGGGGTAGCAGGTGCTTTGAACGTGCGCTTACGAAAGCTATGAGTATGGCTTATTTCACCTTTTTCCAGCCTTCATCCAAATCACCACTGTTACCAGTGTGTTCACTGAGTTCTGAAGGCATTTCGACCAACTTAACTCGATACTGCTGGACTACAGGTAAAAAACTGAACATCTTTGCGTGGGGCCGTGTTCCAGAGGAACACAAACGGATATGCGTGTCGCTCCGTAAATACAAGAATCGAACAATCGACGACCAAGTCACCGTCAGTAATATTGATTTACATAGCATCCTAAGGAAGACATTTGGATCCACGTCTGTGGCACGTTCTCATCTCGTGTATAAGGTGTCTGATAACAATGGTCGGTTCGCTATAACAGAATCTGGACTTCAAACTGTATTAAAAAGGCTGTAAACGTCCAAGTTTCGTCATTTACTCATGTTGCGAAAATGGCGATGAAAATGGCAGCAAAACAAAGCTAACTTGCGAGCGTTCAAAGTCCATGGGATGACATCATAAAACGAAGATAATGCTTGACTAGACTGAAGTTTCGCCTTGACATCAAATGAGACGGTGTAGCCTGGGTGCCTCCTACACCTTCGAAGTGTGAATACCACTGCATGATTAGAAAAGTATGGGACCAACCTTGAGCTCGAGACAGCAAAGTGGTTAAGGCACGACCGGAATGTACATGGTTCGAACCCATTCTTTACATCTCAACTGCTCCTGTCTGTTTGGGTAACCAAGCAGTATCTCAGCCCCCGTTATTCCCTCCGGTAGCAGCTATGCACCGAAGGGTATGACAGCTATGTCTGTTTGGGTAACCAAGCAGTATCTCAACCCCCGTGATTCCCTCCGGTAGCTATGCACCGAAGGGTATGACAGCTGAACGATTATCATAATTTATTATTAGTCCTGATTTTCTATAAGACAAGGCGCGGAAAGAACTACAACGGATCTTATCTGCGGTGGTTCAGACCAGTTGTGACACTGTGTCAATAAAGCCAACTATGTTGACGGTCAGAGAAACTCAGTGACAAGATGACTGTCACACAGCGTTACTGTCTTCCCCAACCACTCATGCCCTATCATCAATTCGCTCTCTTCATGTCTATTTCACCACTATTTGTGCATTTCGTGAGATCGATCCAATCCGCCTCTTTGATTGACCAAGGCGAGCGGATCGGAAAATAAACTGTATGGATCATTGTTACACAAGTGAGTTGAACTGATGTCCAATTTATCCTAAGGACTAGGTTTGCCGGAACGGCGTGGTGACCAGGACTCACGCGTCAAAATTTAAAAAATAAAGAACAGTCACAAATCGCGGATGTCCTGACATCAACCGGCGCCGAGGAACTTACTTCCGACAAACACGTGGTTAGAAAGTCCTTCGTGTAACACGCAGCGGCTTCTGGATTATCCGCAACCGTCCATTTCACCTGGCAGAAACATTCAAAGGGAAAATGTCAGGAAGACGGGAAACCTAGAACGCAGACTTTTATACAAAAAAACTATCCGAAACGGCTTAAGCCCGGTTGAAAACGAATAGGAAGAAATGATCGCATTTAGGTTGTCAGTTGCAACCGTGGCAACTGAAATCCATGCCATCACCGACCTAGTGGTACTTTCCATTGCGATGCATCCTTTTAATCTTTGCTCTTGAGATCTCAAGGCCTAGAAGATACTTTCTTGAATTTTTTTGTCGCTTTCCCCCTTGGGGAACATCCCGGCAGAACCGATGAGGAAAAGTCATTCTTCACATTAGCAATTCACCCCACACGAGAGAGCATCACCATAGAAACGCCCTGTGACCAAGATTTACTTGATTATTTGTCTCAAAATGACAGTCAGACATCTTGTCATAAGCACAGCCGGCACACGAACCCGCCAGGTCTGGCCAGTTCACAGTGTCAACACCTTTCGAAGGTAATACGTCTGAAGCAGATGAAAAGTCCACACATTCGTGAGTCCAGTTCACATCGACTCCGCCAGGAAATGCATCTGACGAAGAGAACATTATGATCACTGATACATGTTTGGTGCATGACCCGTCTGAAGGAAGGGATACTATTAGTATAGTACTTCGAGAGTATGACTGAATGGCCTCAGACAACGGGAGATGGAATACGGCTCTCCACATTGCCGATACGATGTCCTTTAGTCTAGATACAACCGACAAGTGACGTAACACGAAAAAGAGCGATATGAACTTTAATAATCAGTGAAAGAAGACCAGACTGGTGCTTTGTGTAATAAAATAAGCATCCCAGTAGTTGGCGACCATCACAATGAGTGATAAACCTATCAAAGCCGGTCACGTAGGCTGAGACACGGTACTACCCAAAACACGAAAACAAAACTGGGAAATCATTCCTAGTAACATAGATGAACCCACCGAAGGAAAGGTTCGCGTATCTTCACTGGTAAATATTCCATATTAACAAGAGAGGAGGCGCTACCACCACGATGGTACCCAGCGACTCTATTGAAACGCTTTCTAAAAGTAACCCTAGATTACCTTCAGATGAGACCACTTGTCGAGAGAGACCACTTTAGATTGGTCTCTCCAGAAAGTAGGCAACTAAAGAGCACAGTCCTAAGACAACTGTTATTTTAGTAGTTTTCTATATTAGCTGTCAGTAGGTAAGTCGCTTTACGGTTGGTGTTTGCACCAAGAATCAGGAAGTGCAAAAACTATCCCTTTGCTTGATCTATGCAGGTGTCCGAGTTTTTGTGTGATAGTATGGTTTCGCAAACGACTACTTGCTTATCTGATACCGGCAGTCGGCTCTCTTCAACACCGTACATAATTCAGAACCATGCATAGAACTATTGTCATTCGGTGTGAAGACCACTGCCGGCGATTGCGTATGACCATGACAAGAACTAAGGAATGATTGGGACTCGAGCACGAACTCAGATCCAATTTACCTGCATTCCAGTTTTGTTGCCAACAGACACTGCGAAAAACCACCAGTTAGCCTTAGCAACATCCCTCGGGATTACGAAGCTGGACCATTTTAGCCGTGACAGCAGAATGGTCCTGGGATTGCTGCCCTTTCTTCCTCAATCCGAAATGAAACAGTTCGATGTAGCTATTTCTGGTTTGTTTGAATCAACAGCCCTCTAGACTATCATAAAGTTTCACTGCCCAACCAGAAACTACTCATCAACTGCAGTAGCGCTGAACTATCTAGCTGAATAGTGAAATGAATGGACCTTGTGCTCTAAGATGGACGCCCAAATGCTCTTGATCAAAGGACGATTGATGTTCCTTAATAAAACTGCGAAAGGCGCAAATTCAACATATGGGCAGCCAAAGCTTCTTTACTTGACCGTACAGCTAAAGTGTCAGTAAGAGACAACGTTGAGTGTAATCCACTAATATGTTTTTGCTATCCCGGTAGAATGAAGCTGAACTATGTAGACAATAGTATTGACACTATAAGGTTGTATCGCAGTGAACCATATGGCAAACACCCAGCCCATGGTTTGGTTGTTTGAACAGAACAGACAACCAACCCTCCACACATCACAGCTCCATACAGTCACTGGATTATTAGCCATATTCATTAAAGTTCTTAGACGGGGCGCACGCGCCACGAGCCTTTGGAAAAGCGCGAAAACAAAACTAAGAGTGTCACTTGTTGGACAGAAAGCTATGCAGTTACGTGAATCAGAGTTACGGATTTCGTATAACTGTGCAATTAGAACACACAAACATAAAGAGAATTTTTCAATGAGACTTGTTGGAAAACCTGGAAAACGGAAGACAGAAGTTACTTTTACGACAGTATCACTGCCCATGCGAGCAGCTTTGGACTGTTCGGCCAACATTTCTTGCTCTTCACGGTGTCTTTTTCGTGCCACCTGAGCATTCATTTCTATCTGTTCTGTTTGTCGTTGCCACTCACGACGCAACTGTTCCGCGACAGCATTCTGTGCTGATTCTCGTTTCTGCTTTTCCCGTTCGAGTTTTGCCTTAGCCTCCTGTGCCTCCAGCTCTAGAGTACGGGTGGAAACGATAGACATAAAATGCATCTAACTTATTAGAGCCTAAAGAAGATTGGATGGAACTATGCGATCATTACAGTGATTCCAGAAGGATATTTGCGAAAGCAGTGAAAGGGATCGCCCATTGAAAATGACAAATTCAAAGCTGAAATGAAACCCCATCTGTGACATCGTGGCGTACCGTGTGAAACAGTTGACGTCGTCAGTTATTCCAAAAGTACTGAGCCAGATAAAATGCATCTATCCACGTAAACGTTCAAGGGATGTAATGTCATCACGGATTCAGCTGGGCTGAGAAGCGAAATGTTGCACCACAAGATGATTCAGGGTGCAGTTTGCATAGCGAACAGAATATAAGGCAGTACTGGAAACCTTAGAGTTAGACTAAGGTTTGGAATAACCTCAGAGTTAGACTGGGGACGAGACGGCCCAATTGGTTAGAGCTCGAATTTACTGACCGGAAGGTTCGTGGTTCGAATCCGACCTCCGCCACTCGACTTCCCCTGTCTAGGCTTGGGCACTGGGCTGAGAAGCGAAATGCTGCTCCACAAGGTGATCAAGGGTGCAGTTTGCACAGCGAACAGAATACAAAGCAGTGCTGGAAACCTTAGAGTTAGACTCCGTACGGACAATATAACATAAACGAATAAGCAGATTAATGATGGATAAGGTTCCCCTGATTTGGTTTGCTTGAAGGACGTGATTGAATCTGCTTCACTCAAAAGCCACCAACAACAGGTTCTAGGAAGCGAGACAAGGCAGTTATATGTCATCCGAAACGTGATTTCGGGTGACTCCACAGACTTCGTCCACCAACGCAAACTTGCATGAGAACTGGACACTGTAAGAATACGTGGATAAATAATCATTATTTAGTCAGCAGTTTTCTCACTTCCACGCTTATCCAAGAACCTGTTGTGGACCACAGTCTCCTCAATGCCTTCTTGACTAAACCACAAACAGTCAGTGAACGTGCAAGGCCAGCTGCTTATTGATCACTGTCGCGTATAAGCTATCAAAATGATACTAAGAATACAACTCATCTGTCAAGGGCGAGTGAAGAAATGAAATCCGTCTCAACAAAAATGGTTATTCCATTGGCTGTCATATAGCCCTGTTACGTTCGGCGCTGGTTCTCATAATAGAACCAAAGATGGCAATGTCTGCCAGTGAGGCCAAAAATAGTAACACGGTTTTAGAAAACATAGGGATGCGGACCTGATCGGCCAAGACGGATCATTTCAAAAGACATTAAAATTATGGTCGAAAGCCGTATAGCGCTGCGGTTAACGGAACTAACAGCGGGCATTCGCCGCAACTGAGCGTTACCTTAAGCCTCATTGACAAGCTATCGATAACTCATGCTGTTCATGTGTTCCGAATGTTCATGTTCAGAGAACCGCTCAGTTGCTGAATCTCCATCTCCTGGTCATTTATGCACTGAAAATTGAAGTCCTATGACCTTAGAAGAGACCAACCCGTAATGTACCTCAGAGACTAAAATGAATAGTCCTACTAGCTGGATGTATGCAGACTTCGTCCAAACTAAACTAAAGCTGTGGTCGACATATCAAGTCGTCATAGTCAAATGGGAAGAATATTTCCAGTCCGGAGCCAACTTGTGAATCGTAAAACCAAACCAAACGAAACAAAGACCTACTTTGTCTCATCTGTTTTCGTTGTTCATCCAGCGCCTCGTAACGCTTCAGAGCCTCCCGTTTGGCTTTCCACTTTTTATCGTATTCTTTCTTTTGGGGAGAAGATAAAAAGTAACGGAATATTAAGCACACAGTTAGGGGAAACTATTGATCAAAAACTGGCCAAATACATTGTGCCCTTCAAAGATTAAATTATACTTCAGCGCGAGTGACACAGGATGACCTAGCGATATAGAGTGTCGAAATGTGTAACTTGCATTGGTTCCACGGTGATGTAGAACTTATATTACCTATCACTCGGTTCAAGTGATTTCACTTTTAACGTTCAGTCGGTGGTAATACCTGTCTACTTCGTTATTTGTTTGTTAAACCAAACACTGGCCTGAAGTTTCTGGCCATGACATCGTCCATGCACATCAACAATCATCATAAGCATCATCATCATCATCACCGGCAAAGCTACGTTGTATTCAACCTCATCATCGTTGACAGCAACATGGCAATCCAGTACCCTACAAACGGCTCGGTTATTGTCTACCATCGTGCTAACCGAGTAAATAGCAGTGTCTGATGAAGATACACTGGACAACGTGAAAAAAAGAAAGAACATCTCGATGCTCACTGGTGTCTTGGGCTCACGCGTCATCGCTCAACAAAATAAACCCATAAATATGTGTCACTGCGTAAAGACATTAGACTGTGCTGTTATAACGAAGTGCTCAAGCTTGGTACAACTGAATCCTTTACTCGATGACATTCGCCTAAACATCAATACTTCAGTTCTCCACCGATAAACTGAATGAAAACCTTCAAGTGGCGCCAGTGTTGGGCGAGCTAAAATCTGAATGCCAAAATGAGTAAATCTATGGTTCATTTCAGCCCTCAAAATTACTGAGATATGGCCGAAGAGGTTGAAGTACTGATCGGACAGGGTTGACATTGGTGGTTCACTGCAATACAACCATAAGGTTCGTCTAATTATGCTTAAAGCGCTAGAGTGAAAAGAAGAGGAAAACGTAGGTGAGGGAGGAGACCCAGTGCCAGCCTATGTCAAGTGTTCTGGGGTGCCTACAACTCCAAGCGCTCAAACAGACAATCTGAAAGGAAACGGACAGCAAGAAGACTATTAATTGCAATGTAGTTAGCCAAGAACGGGCGGGATCACGGTGACACCATCCTGAAAGGCGTAACGCCCTCTTACCAATGCGTACGTAGTCCACCTTGCAGTTTGTGCGATCCCGAAGGAGGCACAAAGAACAAAACTCGCCTCGTTAGACGGTGTTTCGACATGCGTAGCACATGGCCGAGTCGCCGCAGCTGATGATGCTGGATGTTCTCGGTGATTAGAGTGCCAGTTACCCAACCACACACCTGTTTTCTAGTCATCTCATTACTAACATCCTGACGCCATCCACAACCAGCAACGCTTTTGAGGCATCGGTGGTCAAAAACCTGAAGAGACCTCACATCATCTGCCCACAGAAGTCATGTCTCACACTCATACAGTCTTACTGTAGCCTAATACACGCGACCCTTATGATCTAGTGAGAT